TAAGAAATAATGAATAATAATATCACTAAACATTTAAAACATACTAACCTACAATCGAAGAAATCTTTAATCTCATCAACTTTTTGGGGAGCAAGACTTTTGTTTTTACCAGAGGCATTGTGTTTTTGTTTTGTGTCATTCCCCTGATTTCTTGTTCGATCATTTTCTTGATCCTTTTTCTGGTGGCTCAACAACAACAGCTACACGATCAACTCCTTTACTAATGTAATTAAATAAATACTTGATAGATCAAGACTGATTGCACCTTTCCACGTTAATGTGAGCTCGATAACAAATTGACAACTCTTTGTTATATGGAATAACATATCTGTTATCACATTTAAAACCATTTTTTTCTCAGACCTCAAAGACGATTGTTTCTTTCTCAAGTAGGAAAATCTATTAGCTTCTATCATAGTGTAGCTATCAACCATAAATTGTTGAAATAACCTTCTTGATCTAAGCAGAATAAGTGATTCGTTATCACGATCCTGAATACGGAATGCAAAGAATTGACGCATACTTATACCATCCTTCTTAGATTTTTTAGAAGCAGTAGTAATCCCCTTTTTAATACGAAGCCTAAAACCATCCTCTCCATGGGGGAAAAGCAATGGATACTGGAGAGGCATATAAGACAGATGAACTTCACTTATTCTCTTTAGCTTCCCACACTGTTTTTTCAGAACGATATCTCTTTTATCCATTTCAATATTGAAATCCCCTGGAACAATTGCAGCCATTTCTGAAAATGTTGGCCTATTGTATGTTCTTGCATCTATAGGTCGAGCATCCAAAATCCTCAAATGAAAACTTTCTTCAAGATTTTTGTTAAATCGCTCCCTTGCAGTATGAAATTGGGATACGTATGAGTTGCTATCATTTAACATTTTGATTAAAGCATCAATGGTTTCTTTCCTGAGTTTGTTACTTTTGGTAGGCTGAGTTGAATTTTTTGATTTACTGCAACAAAAAACATACAAAAAGATACTATATATTCAATTACTCGCAGATAAAGTATAGTGGTAGTAAACATTAACGCATATGAATAGATACTTTAGAACATTAACTCTGTTATTGGCCTCATTTTATGTATCAACTATGTAAAGCCGGTAGAACTTAGCATAATCACCACGTCTAGGAAGCATACTACCCATTAAGTGGTAGTTTTCACCTTGCAGCTGAAACATTGGAGGTCCTTTTTCCTTTTTTAACTGAGCGATCTACTCTTCCTCCTATAGATGTCATAGAGAAAACCATGTTATAGGGCCTAATATTCTTCTGGAAATGTTTACTTAGCTCATTATTAGATGTAAGCAGGTGATTCAAGTAGGGAGGAGTATCCTTTAGTTGAGGCAAAACAACTTGTCCTTGTAGACAACACAACGTAAATGTTGGATTCTTTAATTTTCTTTTCTTGTTAATGCGCTCTCCATACCAAAATAAGGCACCACAATGTTTACAACTATATACAGGATCACCCTCATCATTGTATTCTACAAAGTAGGATAATATGTTATTCACGTAAATGCTTAAAAAACATTTTAAAACTAAATATTGTAATATAGGAGATACATTCAAACATGTGGTTTTGTTTGCATTTTTGACATCGTTTGGAGTAGAAAACATGGTTTTCAGTAAGTCAGCTACGTTTTTTATTCTCGAATGGTCTTCTGTATGTTGTGAGGGAACCGGATGTTGTAAATCATCTTCATCAGAATTGTCTGAATGTGTATCTTCTTGACTACTACAATCGAAATCTTGTTCATCAGACTCTTCATCAGATCCTGTTGATCATAATATAATACAATCTTAGTGTAATAGTAAAGTAAAAATACTTGATGAAAGAATACTATAATTTGGTAATAATAGTATCATAATGTTTCGTATTATTTACAACCTTCTGATGAATAGTTTTGTGGAGTCTGATCTGTTTTTGTTTTATCTAAATGCAGATCATGAAATGGATCAAGACTAGACGATGATGACGACTGCTGCAATTGAACGCTTGAAAAAGGTGAATTTGATCCTTCTCCAAATTCATTTAGGTTCAAATATGATAAACAACTTCTCTTGAAATCATTAGTAGCCGTACTACCGAGGAAGTTGGATCATCTGAAAAGAAATGGACATTTAGTTTACTATATTAAGTAATCTAAGATATAGTATTTGTTACAGGAAAACATTACCTGATATTGTTGAGTATCATTTTGCAGGTGTCTGAAAGGAATTGTTGTTTCACTGGACGCGGGTACACTATTTGGCAAATGTACGTTTGAAACATCACATAAACTCTGTTCTCGATGTTTAGTGTTGATTGCGTTATCTAACTTTTTTGTGACTGCGCAAATTGAGATTCATTCTCGTTCTGAAAAGTATTCCTTCTTCTCTTATTCTTCTTATAGGTAGAAACTTGAAAATTTCCATCACCAATAATTTCATCTCGTTTACCATTCATAGTGAAATGCTGTGAATGAAATTAAGAATTAGTTTTGATGGATGTACTATTTCACGCTCTTGTAAAAGTAGTTTTTGTTACTAAAAATCTAAGAATTATTTAGCTCAGAGGTATTCTGTTTTTGGTAGTTAGAATTTAGTTAAGAAAATCTCTAAAAAATCACAGCATTACAATATCTTCTAAAATATATACTAAACAAAAAATATTTTATACTAAATATTCGATAGAATATATTTACATAAACTTGAATATTTAATTAAAGTACATAAATCTTAATATGAAATACAAACCACAATTAAAATTTTCTAGAAATGACAATAGTTTAGAAAAGTAATAGAAACTGAATACGAAATATTCAACACACGAGATAAAGCTGAAAATAAAGAATGTTCAACAAATAACTTAAAAGGGTACATGAAATACAAATCACACTTTTAAACATTATTTCACGTTGCTTCGACTCCGACAGTAGTTTTACTCCTCTTCTGCTCGTTTAATCAATTTCAATGCGTGTGTTTGGCTTGACATTTAAGTAGAAACAAAATAGACATATCAGTATCTCATATTCATTAAAAACCATCATCAATTTATCAGGTATCTAAACTATTTACAGCTTTAAGTAGAAACAAACTAAACATAAAGGAACTTACATGTTCTTTTTGAATTCAAACACCTCTTCAATTTCGAGATTGAAGTAAAATCGAGAAACTCCTCTAACATCCATCAATTGTTCAACACCTAGTTTCAAAACGAAGACGCTATTATATTGTATTAGAGTTAATGCTAATCTAATATTTTTAAAAAAAAAATATTACTTAGTAAAGGTTAAGATTTACCATTAACAATCCTAGGACGCCAATCAGATAAAACACAAACTGCTTTAACGTCGTCAAGACAGTACCAATGCTGATTAAAATCCTCAGCCAGTTTTCCAAAAACATTGAATAGCTTCACCACTGCCACAAGACAAATTAAATAATAAGAACAACATTCAAAGATCAAATAAAATACGAAACAATTGTACAATCTTACTCGTTATTGACCATCGTGAACCTTAGATGGCATATTTGTTTTGGAGAGTCAGGACCAAACAGGTCATCATGGACCAAATCTAGATCCTCAACATGCGTAACTTTCCCAATAACAGCTATATTAAAATTAAAATGAGTTTAAGATCATTGGAACTTGCAGAATAAGAATCTTTATAGTATAGAATAGGAAGAGTTTAAAGTATTTTACCAACAGGAAGGTGTAGAGGAACATCAAGATTGAAAAGAGTATCAAAGCTTTTGAAATTCAGGAAGTGGTCTTCACTATCGTACTTCGTTCTTTTCACCTCAGTGTTCTCTAGGAAATCAGTTTCAGTTAAACGCACCGGATTTGGAACTCTGATGACTATAAAATTGTATATCTTCTTCCACTCTCCTTCCTGTATTTTCCGGTCAAAATATGGTATCATCCACTCCCAGTTTATATAACCGTGGATTTTGTCACCCTACAAAAATTTTGTTTAGAAAATAGGTATAGTTAATATACTGAAAATCAATACTTATATGAAAACAGATAAAAGACAAAGATCAACAAAAAAAATAACCATAGACATAGAATAAATTACTTACACGTTCATCAATCAATACAAAATGGAGAGACTGAACTCCACCTTGATCAATGGTAAGCCACGTCCTATGAATTTTCACACGCATAAACCAGTCAGCTTTCCATTGATGAAGATCAATTACTTTATCATAGATAAAATTCATAGTTTTAGTATTTGGAAATTAAGAAATGAAGAAAAAAGGTTGTGTTTGTTATTAGTTTGGGAACTTCAACTTCTATATGTAATGGGATGAGATGTAGGTTACGGCTTTAGATGCATTGCATTTTAGAATTTAGTTAAATAAATTTAAGTTTTGTTATCAATGCAATCCCTATAACTCAAATTAACTTTGTGTCAGGTTTGTAGGTAACATTTTCAAAAAAATAGGAATAGGAAAAGACAATACAATTGCATCGGTAAGTTTAAAAAAAAAGAAAATTTTCAGAAACTTTGCACCGTAAAAGATCACGATTTGACTAAAGATGATGTCATTTATAATGAAGTTATTGGTCGAATCGTTGATAGCCAAAATCTTAATTGCTTAAAAAATTTTGTTAACTATACAGCCCAATTATGTTATATAGTTGGTTTTGTTTGGGCTTCATACTTGAACAAATTGTTTAGAGAATATCCAAAAATAAAAATATTATCTCTAGCGGGTCGAAAAATATAAAGGACCAATATAAAAGATTTGGACATATTTTATAATCCATATAAGACTAAAACGGATAAGCATTTTCGTTTTAGATATAATTTCCAATCGTGAATAATCTATATATCAAACTTCAAGGGAAAACCAGTCTTATTGGTTTTCAAAAATCCAAAACCATAAAAACCACAAGCAAATGAGAATAGAAACGATTACTCAATGTCATCAAAAGAAAGTCCAATTGAAAAATGAAATGATCCTGAAAAATGTATCTCAACTTTGAATGTTGCAAGTTACTTCTCCTTCTCTTTTTCTTTGGTTCCGGCTAGAATTGTCTGACTGTCACTGTTTTTGGTTTTCTTTTCCACATTATTCTTTTCACGTTTAATCACAACAATCTCTTTTTCACTGGCAGGCAACTTTCCATCAATCTTCTCTTGTTTGACTAACGTTATACAGAGCTTCTTCGATGTTGAAGATAGATCAGGTAAGCTTTCCAACTCATCGGAAGAACGCTTACTTAAAGGAGTAGTGCTTGTCATTGAATTTTCTTCGATGTTGCTGTGGATAATTGAAACCTACGTAGTAATTAGGTCACAATTAGGATATTTCGACAAAAATAAATGAAATTATTAGTTAAATAGTAAAAATATGTAAAAATACCTCATCACCGGAAATAATAGTTGATAAATTATCAACTTGAGTCAGTTGGTCCAAAGAGGAGTCTGCAAGTGTGATAATTTCATCTCCAGAGTATACATTCCCAACCTTATACGTCTCCAAACCGTAGTACAAATTTTCCTTCTCAACACAAACCCAGAACTGGAAAGTCTTGCCTATCAAATTCTTGATAGCTTGTGGAATATTTTCAGGATCAACCATCTAGTTAATTCAAGAAGCAAATAATTAGACAAATCTTTTTAATGATAATTATAAGTTAAACCTACTATAAAATAATTATAATTACACGCTTATACCTCATCAAAAGAACCCCCTAGTAGTTTTGTAGCTGATTGCGGTACAATAGTGCTAGCGACCGTATCAAGTAGCATCACCTTAGTCTTTGAAGTTTGGTCCATAACCATAAAATGTAGTTTAAACCTACAATGTGCACGTTCAATATAATGCAGTTACTAATAATAGGACATTAGAACTATTAAATAGTATAAACCATGTAAGTGTATATGCTTAGTAACATTTACTTGGCCTCCACTTTAGTGACGATTTCATTGCACGCCTTACACCACCAAGTAAGGCCATTGATACGAACGGTTGCTCCTGATTGCTTCTTAGTTCTTTTTTCAACCTTTCTGTTGCATTTTATGCACCCAAAATAGTACCAACCCCAATATGTGTCAATGGCATAGATCAAACACACAATCTTGCACTTCTCAACCTTCCAAGGTCCAAAAAAACCGTGTTAGAATATACAGTCATAACGATATATGAGCATTGTAGAGAATATGCGGTATTATTAAAAAAAACACTGTTTTCAATTTTACCTCCGAAGTAATTAGTAACTCCTCAATAGTCTTCTGTTGCAGGTTAGACCAGTACTCTTTCTTATTCACCATCTTATCATCATTTGGAGTCTCAACAATGGTGAGAGCAAGACCATCATCTGGCAAACTGAAATTTCATGAAAAGGATGAATGTGCCTTAAGGTAATTAATGTAAACTAATAATGGCATATCACTATAACATGGCATTCGATTGATTAATAAATACTTACGCATTCATGAATTCTGTAACCTCAGGTAAAGCAGGATTAATCATTAGCTTGGATGTCTCGAAAGCATTTGTAATCTGAAGTTTGCCTAAAATGAGGACCGTAAAATTCATTCATTCCATAGTTCTCTATGCAATTCCTACCGAGGTCAGTTCTTTGAAAACATACATCTGTAATTTCCAATTTTTGCAAACCTGATTAGGCATATAACAACCAGTCAAGTTGTTTCTTGGCAACTTGTCCAAAGTTGATCAGCACACCTTTCCCACAAGCAACATGGCATTCGATCATCACTATAAAAATGAAAACAGTGTCAATCGATCCCTTCCATGATGAAAAGATTGACGCAGATTATTAGATCTTTAAAACTACATTCATTAGATAATGATAAATAGATCGGGTTATATGGAACGATTACTTAGTATCTCGTAGCTCGAATTCAATATTTTTCCTCTCCTTCCCATTGACTTGAACAGTTTCAATATCCTTCACGTCATCAACTTGGCCTGTCACGTCTGTGATATAGGTCCAAAAATATCAGTTTGCAGTATACTCAAAACATTTAGTGAACAACCAAATAATTTAACTAACCATATTTTAACCTGATGTTTTTCCAGAAAATAAATTAACTGTTATATTCGACTTACCAACCAAGAAACTGTGGTTAAGGTTACCACTTAGAATAGGGCCAAAGTCCACGAAAACTCTAAGTTGCTTTTGACACTGCACTTCGTGATCGTAGTGTTGTCTGTGAACGATATCTTGTAATTGTGCTTAGTTGGACGATACTGACTAGATGAAGATGTCAAAGAGAAGTTCTCAATGACTTTGCATTCTCCTACTGGAACCAACCGTTCAACACAGCTCACATATGTCCTCTTACACGATGCATGTATCAAAGTACCCTACAATAGGTAACATTTAAATTATTATATAGTATTCCCATCATTCAATAAGATGTTTTGTAGAAAATTAAAAAAAAAAATTAACACGCTCACATTTTCATCACCAAGAATCAGCTCCAAAGTTTGACCTGGCTGAATGGTGTACTGCTTCCATGAGTGGAGGACTTTCACACGGATTCGCCAAGATGGCTTGAATGGTTTGACATCGGCCAGGTTAGTGAAACCAATCAGAGAACTCATTTTCGGGTTTTGAGTTTTGAGAGCCGAGAATACTACTTTGATTAGTATTTAGTTGGATCAATATATAAGAGAAGTAGCTATAGGAAGGATATATTCACAAAAATATTTATTACCGAATTAGTTAGAGTAATTTTTGGTATGCGTTGATGATAATCAAACAAAATATTTGAACTCTAACTAATAGCTTTAACTATTTCAGAATATACCAAAAGTCTTGTTATTAGATTCTGATTGACAAAATATTATTAGAAGATATGGACCAAAATCAATTATCTCCGAGATTTTTAATACTAAAATATCTTCTTCGTAAATATGTGAAGTACATTTAAAATTAATATATCTTATTACTGTTTTGAGAATTTGCAAATACGCGGGATTTTTTGGGTAGATATAATCGAATTTGAATGGTTTTCGATATTTAAGGTTTAGATAAACCGGTTTTTATGTATGCAAAACCATCGATTTTTTTTTTCAAATAGATATCGGTTAAGATGCATTGACTTAAAAGGATATGAATTATGTGATGGTTTAAGAATTGTTCATTGGATTTTCTTTAGTTCATATAATAAGAACAGATCTTCCCTAATAAATGTCCTCTGTTAGTAATTGAAATGCTTAATAGTTGTATGATCAAAGTGATTCATGATATTTATGTGCATAGGAATGAATTTTGAAGTTATATTTTGCAAGTGATTCATGATATTTACGTGAATAGGAATGAACTATGATGTTATATTTTGCAGGAAATTGAGATTATGCACCACAATGACACTTTAGATGGTCATAAAATGTCGGTTAAGGTGAATGATCTGACTTAAACGATGGCATGCCATATATTATAGATCCGATGTAATTGACCGGATGTATTATTTCGAATGTAATATTGTGTCCAATTCATATTTAGTTGGTTAGCGATAGGATTAGTTAAGTATGATTAGTGTATGATTAAGTTGGAAATGCCTTTAATGAAATCATGAAATGTTCTAGCAAACCCAATGGCATGAATCGTAAATACCATGGTAAGATTTGGACATATTTTAGCAATGATCCTCTTTTAATAGTTTAGATATTTGAAGACAATATAAAATCTTTAAAAAAAGGATACTTTTATATTGGAATAGAAGAAATATTGTTAAAGGAAAAAGAAAAAAAGAGTTCGATAGAACCGACTTCCTAACCTTATAAATAGAAGATCCTAGATGGCTTGAAATCCAATCCGAAAACCCTAGAGAGCACAAGAGTAAGACCTAGAAGTTATAAGAGCATCTCCAATGCAAGCTTTATATTTGAAGTTGCAAAAAAAAAATTTTTTGAAGAGAATGTTAATTTATATTCAAACAAAAAAAAAAACTGTAGATGCAGCGTTTTGATTAACTTTTAGAAAGGATTAAAAAACTTCACTTTCTCGTCAGCCACAGGTAGCGAACCATTTGCCCAAAGCTTCTTCATATCGAGTATCCAAGCGCCGAATAGATGATATTCGGTTTCGTACTTCTTTATCAATGAGGTGAACGAGCTGGCTGGGTGAGGAGGATTGATCGCCATGTCGCCGGCCGTTACTTTCTCATCATATAACAGAGATTGTTGTTTGAAGTGCATATCGGAAAAGGAAGACTTCGATTCGTGGAGAGTGGAAGTACAAGAATAGCTGTAGAACTTCAGTCCAAGAAGAAACATACTTTTGTTGAAAAATTAACGATTTACATTATAGTCTATAATATTGATTTTTTTTATTAAAATCAAACAACTTTTATAAATGGCTATAAACCATGCATACTTAAAAACATTATACCCAATATTGATTAATAAAATATTATATTACCATAAAAATTACATATAAATAGTAATAAAACACACACAAACAAAATAAAAATTAAAAATAAAATGCCAAATTACTCAATAGAACCTTTCCTATAATGCTCTTATATATGACCAATCAAAGTATTTTGAAGTAATAAATGAGTCTCTTTATATTTTATCTGTAAATTATGAGATAAAGAATTTTGAAACCAAATTTTTTTATTTAGTATCATTTCAACTGTTTCCTCTGGAGCTGATCTTGCTTTGATATCACGTTCACTATTATCATGTTATGCATGATTATGCATGCAATCATTACATCATGTAATAATTGCTTATAGTTTGAACAATAATAGACTGGGGCACCTTGAGCAAGTTGATGTCGTTGTTGCTCCCTATCATACTAAATAAGCATGCCATATCCATATATTGTAATCTGCAACTGCTTTAAAAATGATTGTGGGTCACTACGGCCTACAAACTGCCCTGCTCATGCAGTTGGATAATTTTCCACTTCCAATGTATAAAGTCTAAACTACCCAACATTCCAAGAAATCCACATTGTTGGCCGATGGTGAGAAGCCTGGCAATGTCCTCTTGTGTTGGTAACCTGAGATGCCACTCCAACAATACTTCTACAATTGCGCGACAAAATCTTTTCATGCATTTAATGGTTGTAGACTCTCCTATTTTGATGTATTCATATATGGCATCAACAAGCATACGGTACGCCAAAATCCGAATAGCAGTAGTGATTTTTTGCAAGGTCAATAAACCCAGCCTACCAAGCTCATCACGTCGGTGATTGGAGTAGCTATCAGGTTGTTTAATAACATAGGCGAACAAATAAGCTTTAAGACATTTAACTTCTTTTACTTAGGCCAACAAAAGACACTGGATTGTTAGAAAAGTAATCATTGAATAAATTATAATGAGCATTTTCTCTATCATGGTGTATAACTGTGTGACCAGGAATAGAACCTCGATGAGTTATTTTGTTGTTTTCTTGCATGAGTTGGTGAAGAAGCTGGTTATTAATGAGAAACAAATTAATGCAACTTGTTCTTCATGATCAGTTCTCGCATTTTCTTCAATCAACCATTTATCAAATCAGATGAAATGGAAGAAGATAAGAAGAAGACAACTTATAAAAGTAGATGGATCTCCAATATTAAAATTCATAAGAAGACAAATTATAAAAGTAGATGGATCTCCAATATTAAAATTCATATTTTAACTAAAGTGATGAGGTTGTGATGTTTTTGTATCGTGTATATGTGTGTCTTTATAAAGATAAATATTACTATTTAAGAAGATAAGATTTTTTTGACAAAACCATTTACACCATTCATTATATCTTACATGTTCTCAACCTTTGGATTAAAATTCTATGAGACAACATATCAGATAAGAAAATATTAATAAATTTATCTTGAACATTCATTAGATCTCACCTCTCATCAATCGTATGATTAAATTTCTATCCAACTTAGCCAATTTATCTAACTTATACCAGAAAATCTTAAGAAGTTAATATTAGTCATCCATTATATTTGACTGGTTATAGACCGTTGGCTTAAAATCATATCTAACAAATCATATAAGAAAATTTATGAAATTTGAATTGTTACCATTCATTTGAATTATTTATCAATCTATTTTCGTGTATAAATAATATATTTTAAGCATTAAGAAAATCACACTTCAGCCTACTCATTCTCTTCTCTAAAGAAAAAATATGGTAAAAAACAGAGGCTCATCATTCAGTCAACATAAAAATGAGTTATTATGTTGTGTGTATTAAAAAATATCTCAAGATCCAATTGGTAATAATAACCAGTCTTTAAAAAAATAATGGGATAGAATAAATAAAAGTATAACCAGTGGCAGATCTAGAATTACTTTTTATGGGGAGTATGCTACAGAAAAAATAAATAATAACAGGAGCATAAAATTTGCTTAAGCTAAAATAACATTAAGCAAAAAAAAAATCATCAGGGGCAACTGCCTCCTATACTATCAATGTGAATCCACCTTTGAGTACAACAAACAAAAAAACAAGAGTTTAGAAGTTAGAAGTGGGATATCTCTATAATGTAGAATGAATACTATTTTATATGCGGTTAAAAATCTGAAGAGTTACATAATTCAAGTGGAGAATATGCATCCAAGTGGTGCATCCGAGTTTGATACTGTAAATATACATTAATTTTTTATTCTATTTATATATGATATTTTCTATGTAATTAACAAATATTTATGTTTTAAAACTCTATAAATGAAAAAAACCCAAGAAATTATTGATGCAAGATTTAAAACTAAAGAAATGTTTTAAATTTGACCACTTGTGGATTTTGTTAAAGGATATCCCAAAATTTACAGATAATGTCAATATCAATATTTTTAATCATCTTAATACTGGGAGCAATGTGGCCAGCTTTCCAACATCACAATCTCGAGAAATGTCTTCAATTTCAATCAATATAAGCAGTGTTTATTGTGAATTAAATTCATCATAATGTCCTATTAAATCGAATAAAGCAAAACTCAAAAGAAAAATTGCTGAAGATAAAAATTCATTTGCTAACACTTAGGTTTCATCCAATGAATAAATTTTTGATCTTTTAAAAGAAAGTACAGCTAGTAGGGACAAAAATATTAAAATAGCTTAATTATGTATGTAAAATTAAGTAAGAAAAATAGCTTTGAAAGAAATGTAGAGAGAAAATGAAATATTGTAAACAAATTTAGACTCTATCTCTGATACAAATATCTCTGAATTTATTCAATATGAACAACCAATAATCATATAAAAAATATTCAAGAACAAGAATCTACACCTACACCAAATTTTATTTGGAAGATTTTTTAGTGATTTTGGAGATTCAGAATCATATTATTTGAGTTTTAATAATGCTGTTATATTTTAATTTGTATAATATATTGTGTTTATGTAATTTTGTTTTGTATTAATTTTGCTTTATATTTCAAAGATGTTTATCTAATTTTACATATAAAAATTAAATTTATATAAATATATATAAAATATTGATAGGATATGAAATTATAAAACTAGAAGTGAGTAATTTAAAAAGCTAAAGGATTCAAATGCAAAAAAATAGATAGAATTTCAAATTTAAAGTTTTATAGTTTAGATTAGAATAAAAATAGAGAAATTGTATTCGTTGGCCTCAGATGAACTGACAATTAGGTGAGAGCAAAAGTTCATTTCTCTATCTTCCTACTTAAATAAAAATGTCTTTATTACCCTTTTTCTTTCTTCCTAATAAACACAAATGATCTCTATTTCATATTTAACTTCAATGGAACAAGACAAAGACGAATCATACTTTTTGAGAACATTTTTTTTTTAATTCTTACCGAAATTATGGTGGCTCGTTCTTTTTATGGAGATGGTGGATGACAGTGGTGATGGTGGTGTTATCGATGATGGTGGTGGTGGTGTTGTCGATGGTGGTGATGGTCGGTGGTGGTGATGGTGTCATCAGTGATGGTGGTGATGGTGGTGGTGGTCGATGGTGGTGGTGTTGGTGTTATTAGTGGTGGTGGTCGTCAGTGGTGGTCGATGGTGGTAATGGCGTTGTTGATGGTGGTGGTGGTGGTGGAAGACGGTGGTGATATGAATGGACAACACTAACAATAATGTTAACACGATAGCTATCATATTCAAAATATTATTATGATAATTTTTTGATATGATAACATTATTAACACGATAGTTATCATGCTCACAATGTTAGTATGATAATTTTTTGATATAATAACATTATTAACACAATAATTTTGTATAACTTATACAGTTATAATTGTTAAATAATATTGTGATTCAATACTTTACATACTCTTTAGTGACCTAGGAATCATAATTCTGTTTTTGTTTTTTTTTATCTTGATCTTATTATCTTTAGACGTGTCCATGTCAAATAGTATTACAGACATTAAGGAAATTTAGTATTACTTTATAAAATTCATATAAAAATTTTGGTCTACTAAATTACTATAAAATTATTAGAGTACCCGAATTTATAATAAACTATTTTAAAATTTGTAAAAAAAATATAATTCAATAAAATTAAGTTATTTGTAAAACAGAATAAAGTTAAATTAAATGATTTAAAGCAAATTTACAAAAACAAAAATTCAACATTTTTTGTCAACTCAAAACTTTTATTTATATTTTTATTTCCATTTATTTATAATTAAAATTTAAGAAATTTTTCTAAATATTTAAAAAGTTTGATATTTTATATGAATTAAATTTATATTTATTAATATATTATTATATTCTAATTATAGCATATGTCAAAATTTTATCTATTAAAGACTTAAAGTAACACAACTTGATCAAATCAATTTTTAACTTTAAGATTTAACTTTTATATTATATAAGATATATACATTATAAATTTATCATCATAATTCTTAAGAAGATAATCCGTTGAATTGGTTAATAACTGAACTATATTTATACGGTTTATATAATCGAAATCCAAACATTTTGCTCTATTTTAGTTTGGTTTTTACATAGCTACATGCAATGACTCTCGTTTAATTGGTTGCCGGCATATTTACTTAATGACTAGGACGCATGTCATTGGTCAATCGACGTGTAAAATCATCCACGTGGCGTATTCTTCACAGCGAATCAGTGAATACAAAAACCGAAACTTACTCGCGCGAGTAGGTCAACGAACAAGTCTTTGGATACTCTCTCTCCTTTTTGACCCCTCAAATTTCTAAATATTTCAAATTTCGCCTCTTCGTTTTCTTCCTTCTCTTCCTTTTTATGTCTCTCGATTTACGGAACCAAATCTAACTCTGTCTCTCTCTTTCTGTCTCTGCGCTCGATTCGGGAGAAAAAACCAAAAGAAAAAAACTCAAAGAGAGATCTCTTCAATGGAGTTAGTATCCTTCCTTGGTAGAGCTCTGTTCGTTTCCGTCTTTCTTCTCTCCGCATGGCAGGAGTAAGCAATTTTTCTTAAACCCGTTCTAGATCTGCTCTTCTTTCAACTATATTGGAATCTTCAGTTTAGTAGTAGGATCTGCTTCTTTGATTTCATCCGAGAAAAAAAAATCGAAATTTGTACCTGTCTTAGAGCAGAGCAACATTTTAGCTATCTTGTTCGTGATGATGAATCATGGATTTAGGTTTTTGTTTGTTTTTAAAGCTCGATTATAGCTGACTGAGTGAGTTTAGGTGGTTTTGGGGGAAAAAGAGTAAGAATTTAGACAGTGAGGAGAAGATATGGATCTTGCTTGCGTTGATGGAGTTGGATTTGATAAATAGGATTAGATTATAGACTTCTTCTGTTTAGATTTTGTTTCGGATTACTTAATTAGCTTCAACATTGCTAGATTTGCTTTTTTATTCATCTCTTTTCTCTGTTCTTTGGTACTCAGTTTTTATAAATTTCTTTCCTTTCTTGGTGATTTTATGAGATGAGATTGCTTGTTGAATTAGTCTCGTTAGTGGTTCGTAAGTAATGATTCAAGTTATCTTTAATGAATGTAAATGTAATCTCTCTGCCGATCCAATGTTTTGAAGTTACACAATTGTTTTGATTTGATCGAAGTTTAGCGTCTGGCTCTTCTTGATTCAATGATTCAAGAAAAAAGTATTTTTGCTTTTATTTTGTTCTCTCTTTCATTGTTGAATTGACCTTTCATACTTCACTTGACTCTCTTTGATTTGCTATTTGAGTCACTACAATTACAATTGTTTCTTTCACTCTCTAACTAAATCACAATACTTTTTTTTTGCTTTCCTTGATGAGCAGGTTCAACGATTTTGGTGATGATGGAGGTCGAGCAGCTAAATCTCTAAGACCAAAACTCAATGCCTTTGTTAGCCACGTGACAACTCACACTGGTCAGCAATTGCCACCAGTCCATGTAAGCTCTTCCTCGTCTCTAAGTCTCTCGTTCAAAAACAGTGACGAAAATCTAGTTCTGAGCTTTCTTCTTTGTTACAGATGAAGCTTCTCGTTGCTGCTGCTATAGCCTTGAAAGGTATTGGTGGTCTATTGTTCGTCTTTGGCAGCTCCTTGGGAGCTTATCTCTTGGTATGTAACACAACTGTTGTATATATTGTCTTTTTTTTAGCTGAATGACAAAAGAAAAACCTCTAATAAACTCTTTATGAAATCCGGTTTTCAGCTTCTGCATCAAGCCGTTGCAACACCGATTCTGTATGATTTCTACAACTATGATGTTGACAGAAAAGAATTCAGCCAACTGTTTTCAAAGTTCACTCAGGTTTGCAAATCAAAATCTCATATTGGTGTTTTTGTTGTTGGATATTCTTACATTCTTGATCAAGACCTGAACTGAGATATTCTGTGTTGTGTGTTTTGTCTCTTCAGAGCTTGGCACTACTTGGGGCACTGCTCTTTTTCATTGGAATGAAGAACTCGAGGAGACACGGTAGGCAACTCCGGAAGAAGGCTCCAAAAGCTAAAGCAAACTGAAGAAGAAGATGTTTCTTCATCGGTTTATTTCAGCTTTTGTAGCATAAGTGGAATTGTATTTTCTTTTTCTTTTTCATTTTGGAATATTCAGGATGGGTTTAAAGAGTTATGTGGTGAGGCCATGGAAAGGCAAAGTCTGCGCGAAATCATTTTGCTTTATTTTCTTTGGAGCTTGTTGACACTTTTTGTAGACAGTTTTGGTTCTCTAGAGAGATACCATTTCAAATTTCGGATTTCGACTAAATTAATAGATATATGGAGTCTTATAGTTTTTGCTGTTTCTTGTTACGACTCAGTTTCATAGTGTAACTTGTGAAACCCTTTTTCCATTCAAGATAATGCTAATTAGCAATTAGTGTTGCTGAATAATTGCGTTGTTTTTTCTCATCTTCTCACTGAATAGTAAATATTAAATTTGGCTAAGGAGCTAATTTACACAGGAAGCTCTCGTAGCTCAGTTGGTTAGAGCACCCGTTTAGTAAGCGGGAGGTCTTGAGTTCGACTCTCAACGAGAGCATTACATTTTCATTTGTTCTGACCAAATATTTTTTTATGCTAAACCTGACTTTCTCGCCCCTACTTTTCAGAACACACAAGTCAAACTCTCTATTTGCATAAAATCTACAAGAATCAAGAAGTCTTGACTTATATTATATATATATGATTTTATTGAAAATGATGCAATCAAGAGTTAAAAGCTTATACACTTGCCAAACGGAAGAATCCTATAAGAACCAAGTGAAACAGATCATCTCTCTAAGTTTCTCTCTAAAACAAATTCAGAGTTTTTAAGCAGCAGGAGGCCTGAGTTCTTGATCACGAGACGTATCACGAACCGATTGAGGCAAGTAATGCCACATTGGCATGTAACCATAGCTCGGATAAACAGCCATCTTGTTCTGACTAAACGCAGCAGCTTGAATCTGTGGCATGAACCCTGAAGATGGAACCATTACAGCCTTTAGCTGCTGTTCTGTCTTCTCCTTCTCTGCCTTCAACGCTAGCTTCTCTTCCCTCAGCTCGTTCTTCTCCGCCTATAACGTAAAAACAGAGATTTACAATCCGTAGAACACGGTCTTGTGGGAGAGATACTGAAACGAAAAACCAACAAAAACAAACCTTGAGACTCTTGATCTCGTCTAAAAGCTTCTGGTTAGTTTCTTCAAGCTCGTGAGCTTCATCTCTAAGCTGATTCAAGACACGTATCGCGTCATCGAGTATAGCTGGTTTATCGGTCTTTGGACTCCTCCCAGGCTCCAAAACCGAGCTCAAATCCATGAACCTAATAAAAAAAGGAACTCAATATTAGAAAACAAGAATCAAGATTGTCACATAGACTTAAGCTCTAAAGACTAAACATACCTCTCATTAAGCTTCTCCCTCCTCAATCTTTCACGACAGGCTTTGCTTCCTCCTGGCCTGACACACGAACCAGTCCTTCTTCTACCAACAATTCACATGTATTCTTATCAAACACAATCAAATACCAAAGATAACACAAAAAGTTTGGATTTTTTTTTTAATAAAAGCTTACCGCTTTCTTGAGCAATCGTCATCTAAATGTTCTTGTTCTTGCTTAACAGGTCCACCAGATGATCCAGAGTTGATATCTACTTCTTCTTCCTGAACAATTCCACAATCATTTTGTTGCCCTTCAACGACACGCACTTGCTCTTGTTCTTGTTGCAAAACTCCACTAAACGAAGCCAAATCCAATTGAGATTCAACGGTGAAGATTTCTTCTGGTTCTTGCTGCAGATTTACACCGTATGACCCGAAATCTGGGAAGGTGTCTACTTGATCAGGCTGTAAATTTACACCAAATTGTGTGTAATCATCGAGTTCTGCTCCATTGCTGACATGTTAGAAACAGAGATCCATCAATGGAGTATATCAATAAATGAGCAGATTAACGCAACAAATGGTCCGTAGAGTTTACTTCTTCTGATATTCAATTTAACAGCTTAAATCGATTCCAACAAGAAATTTACATTCGGGTTCGTTAAATTATCATCAAAAACACCATTTTTTTTTTCCTTGGAATGGGAAAAAAACAAACAAAAGAAATCAAATTCGATTAGTCAAAATCGAAAGAGATATAGAGAACAGAGGAAAGAGGACAAAAGTACGAACCTTTGATCGAAGCAAAACAAATCGGCGACGAAGTCATCGTCAAGAGAAGGATACATCTGAGTCTGAAAAACAGATTTGGGAAAGCTTCAAGAGAGACGCCAATATCGGAAAAATTAAATTATAAGATTAAAAAGGGCTTTTTTAAATAAAAAATCATTAGAAAAAAATCGAATGACGCCAATGAGATAAGAATGGTGGGAAGGGAACAATATTCTCCGATTTGATATTAGTGGAAATAAAAGAGTGGATTTGTTTTTGTAGATTTTTTTTCACTTAAAATTCTTATTCGGGAGAGACAAATCGTTAAAAACTTTTAAAAGTATTGAAAGACGGAAAATCAGAATCACAGTGGGGCTTTTAATATCAACCGCTATAAAATTTCTTTGCATTTGCATTATAGTTTTTTGGGTAATATTTTTTTTTTTTTGTTTTTTTGTTACTACGATTCTTGTTTGAATAAAACCTAATCCCACGACAAATAAAAAAAACTAATCCAGAACATTAGTTCTTACAAAAGCAAATTACAAATTGCGAATGCTTGAAACACGAGCAAACAGGTTAGTGAGAATTACACAATCTAGGAATCACAAAAAAGGATAATTTAAATAATGAAATTAATTGCAACGTATATAAAAAAAATTCATGGTGAGAATGGCATACCGTTCAAATTTGGACAACAAGCCGATAGCCAAAAAAAAAAAGACATAACAGAAATTTTTTGTTAGTATATACTCCTTCTGTATTAAAATATAGGATGTTTTAAACTTTTTTTTTTGTTCAAGAATATATGATGTTCTTTTTTTTTCTATACAAAAAGTGACATAAAATGACATTTCTTACCATTCTATTATTAAGATAATTTCTAGTCCAAAAATATATCTTTTAATTAATAAAAAGGTTAAAATAGGTATTTTCCAAAATTCCTTAATCTATGTGTCCAACTCTAAAACATCATATATTTTAAAACGGATGAAGTAAACTTTTTTAATAATAACTAGGTTATTTTCAATTTTTTCATCGAAATTATTTTAATTTTCTATATAGTTGTTTATATTGGTTATGTTTCTTTGTTAAACTCTTAATATTAATATAATTGATTTAAGGTATAAAAAAACTATAATTCGTTACTGTAAATGTAAAATGTCTTTTCTTTTTTTTGAGCAAATGTAAAATGTCTTTAATAACAAAAATCTTCAATGTTTTACAAGTGCGGAATATTAGTATAGATATCAATTTAGAATCCCATGATAATTAAAATATGGTATATATCAATTCAGCACCAGCGAAGAATAATCGAACCAGTCTCATCATAATCGTATAAACATCAACATCGACAAAAAGAAGAGTGGTCAGTGGTTACAGTGAAAGAATAAAGGATCCCTAATTTTTTTGTACCTCTTGGAACAATGTAACGTCGTTTTGTCGTTCCCAAACGCATCTTCAAAATTTTACATAAAACAATAATCTCATGAAATTATAATATTGCACGTGAAAACGACTCATGTGGAACGCACGACGAGGAAAAAACAAAACAAATTACATTGTTGTCAACTATATAAATAATTTTAAAAACTCTTATTCAAACTATTTAAAAACCTGATTGGTTTATCTTCATCGAATCGAATCTGTTTTATTGCGTTTAACATTAATCAAAACAACAATAACATAAGTATCCCTTCAAAAAATGACACATCAGCTTTTTCAAACTTTTTCAAATTAGCAACTCAGCAAAAAAAAACACCAATTAAAACATTTTATTAATACACATCATCTACTAACTTTTATTATTTTTAACTTAAACCCATTAAAAACTCAAATATTTTTCTTTATTAATTTTTATTTTTTTTGCCAAATCAAATCACAAATAATAAATAACAGCAAATAATTTTTTTTATTTTTTACTATTCCCAAATCCAAATAATAAATAACAACAAATAAAAAAAAATTAAATCTTTGTTTTATATTTTTGCCAAACAGAAACTCAAATAATAAATTACAACAAAAAAAATTAAAATTTCTAACTATGTATTTGCTTGATAAAGACGTATATAATTGAAGAAAGTATAGACTCATCATCAACTATGCTTCTATAACAACAACGCAAAAAGCGTTATATTATAAGAAACTCACACATTAGCAAAAATTTGAACCAATAAAAACATAAACATAATACATATCATTAACACACTAATAAAATCAGTTTACTATTTTGCTCACCCATTAAAAAGCCCAAAGTTTACAAAAAAATAGAAGTCAAAAGCAAATGAGGAGAAGCTTAGACCACCACAGCTTGGAGATTTGCATTTCCGGTGGTTACCGAGAACAATTTTTTTGGGTTTGACGAGAATAGAGAATTTCTTGGTTTCGGTAAGAAAATATGATTTTTAGTTTTGGTAAAAAAACATAAGTTCTCGGTTATGGCTGAAAAAAACGAATTCTCGGGTTTGGCGGAAAAATGTGAATTTTTGGTTTTGGTGAGATTTTTTTTTTTTTTTGATTTTGACGCAAAAACACAATATCTTTGTTTTGACGAGAAAATGCGAGGGAAATGCAACTTTTCAATTTTGACGAAAAAATACGATTTTTCGGTTTTCATAGGAAATGCAAATTTTTGGCTTTTGATGAATAATGTGATTTTTTAATTTTCGCCGGAAATTATAATTTGACAATTTTGGCGGAAAATACAATTTCTCAGTTTGATGGGAAAACAAAATTTTTTGATTTTGGCGGGAATAAACAATTTCTCGATTTTGATAGAAAATACAAATTTTCAGTTTTTGGCATATAATGTGATTTTTTGGTTTTCGCGGAATACACAATTTTTCAGGAGATAATGCAATTTTTGGTTTTCGTGGGAAATTGTAGTTTATCGGTTTGGGTAGGAATGCGTGATTCTTGGTTTGACGAGAAAAATATTTTTTTTTTGTTTTGGCGGGAAAAGACGATTTCTCGGTTTTTGTGGAAAAATATTTTTTTTCGGTTTTGACGGGAAAAGATGATTTTTTGGTTGTGGTGAAAAAATTTGATTTCTCTGTTTTGACGGAAAAACAAAGTTTCTCGCAGGAAATTGTGATTGTTTGGTTTTGCGGGAAATGCAATTTCTTTGTTTTGGTAGAAAGTTGAAATTTCAGTTTTGACAAAAAATGAATTTTTTTTTAATTTTGGCGGGAATAGGCGATTTCTTAATTTCGTGGGAAAATGAATTTTTTGTGTTTTGTCGGAAAATACAATTTCTCGATTTTTGTAAAAAGATAAAAAAAAATTGTGCTAAATTTTTAAGTTGCAATGTGTTTATAGTAACCAAAATTGAATTATTTAATTTCAACTAAATTGATATTTCAATAGTTCAAACAGAACTTTCTATTTAGTTCTAAAGCAATAGCAATAGTTTTGATATTAATGTTATTGATTATAGTTTGGTAGTTTTAAAAACATATGTTTATAATAAATATGTGATAAATAAATAAATTTTATTATTCAAAATAGTCATATTAATTAATAATATTTTTTAAAATGTTAATTTGCTTTATATAATTTCAAAGGAGGATAAAGTGGCAATTCAATAGAGAAAATAAATTACATTTACCATTAGCATGAAGATACTTAAAAATATATTGTTTTATTCTTACATATACATTTATAGATAGTTGGCTAAACAAATTTGTTACTAGATTATAATTTTGAAAAATAAAAAAAAAACTAAAGATATATAAATTCAGAGTTAAAACATATAAATGCATAGCTTAAGCTAATAAAAATAAATATAATACTCATTTCTATTATAAAAATAATTATATTATATTACAAATATATACAAAATCTAGAAAAATATCCCGCAGCGTAGTACAGATAAATACTTAGTTATAGTAAAATATTTATAAATTAATACTTGATAAATTATAAATTATTAAATTTTTAATTAATTAATAACTTTATAAATTAATAAAATTTGAAAATTTCAACATTATTGATTTATAAAAATTTTACTATTTAAAAATATATTATAATATTTGATAACATTTTAAGACGTTCTAAACAATTTGTTTTTGTTGGTTATTACCATTTCTTGTGTCAACCAAATATGTGCGTAGTATATATACCACTAATACTTTGATCATAATTTTCATATGTTCTTTTCCAAAAAAAAAGCTACTAATTTCTTCTTCTTTTTGTCAAAATCATATTTATTTATCATGAATTGATATAATCAAAGTATACAATATTGGTTTAGTCAATATGGAGGATAGTTACAGCCTAAGAGTTATTTGGGGAGCCATATGAAGCAAGAACAAGAATAGCCTTGTTGCCATCCCTTTTTACATGAACTACATCAATCTGATTGAACTTTAACATCCAAACTCTAATATCAATCAGTAAATTAGAAATACTAATGGGAGATGCAGATAACTAAAATCAAAGGAGATGCAGATATGTACAACCAACCAAAACATTATAGAGGAAAATATTTTCAAGTGAAGAATATTTATTTTTTTGACTAAAAAACAAAATATGGTTATGTTAAAAAAAAAAAAATGGAAAATACTAGTCATGCAACTCAAGCTTGGAAATATTAACAAGTAGTTATAGCACGGTTCACCTTCATCTCAACTAAGTAATATATAGATAAATTAGCCCCAATTCATTTTTGAAGTCTACAGCCTCCAAGCAGATGCTTGAGGGGCTTATACCCATAACCAGTTTGGATACACTGATAATTCAGTATGTATTTCAAGGTTGTCAGATCAGCACCTCTTAAAAATCTTGAAAAAAATAAGAATTGCTCATTTCACTTAGAAATATCGTTTTGTGAAGTTTATTTTAAATTGTTTTTTGTATGTAGAAATTTAGAGTGTTAAATTTTTTTTCGGTTAATGTGTAAAACAAAATATCATCAACCAAAACCGTTAGGTTGTACACATCAATAATAGTTTGTGCTCATTATTTTAAAGTTTAAGACCATCTCCAATGGGTTATTCTATTTTCTATTCTAAAAATAGAGTTCTTTAAAAATAGAGAAGGGATTTGCTCTAATATTTACTATATTTTTACTTTAAAATAAAGAATATTTCAAGTATATTCCTATTTCTATTTAGTTATTACCTTTTTAATAAAAATTTTACTTTAAAAATATACAAATTTTACCTATTTATTTTATATTTTTAATAAAAAATTAACACAATTATGATTTTATTAAAATTAAAAGTGTACCACACAAAGAAAAATTTATTACATAACTAGTTGTTGCTATTATAATTTTTTATTTTTGTTTAAAAATAAAACATATTATTTTTTTAGTTATAAAATAGAATCATATCAAA